ACATGGCAGCTTTATTTTATAGTGATCCGACCTGAATAGTTTCTTTGAACATTGCACCTTTGCTTTAAGCAATAACCGATGCCAAATTTCATGAAGATATCTCTGTCATTTCAATATTTCTTTAGTATGTTCTCTTCAAGACAACATCCATAATATTTCTAACGCTTTTGAATTGTTATTAGTTTTTTCTTTTGATCTTATGTATAACTAACAGTACTATGCAAAGGCAGTGACTTTACTAAGACGCGCCCAGTGAGGTCACAGCGTATTAAATAAAAAAAAGCTTCATAAATTTTAGAATTTATTATAATCTGGTTGATGGCAACTAAAAATAGCTTATTATTAACACCTCATTAAATAAATAATCATTCATATGCAAATACTTGCCTCAAACAAAGTTGTTGTTTATTTTCTACGACTTAGCGCATAAGCGCTTTGCATATTTAATCAGCCAAATATAAATTAAATAATACTTCCTTATGTAAAGTTAAGCAGTAAGCTGAAACACAAAGCGAGCTATTCCCTCCCCCACTCCTTACTTTTTAGTTATTATTTATCAGCAGCCTTCTTAAAATAAGCTCTTCATTGTTAACTAAAAATTTCGTACATTTTAATTTCACTTTCATTTCGTGCACCCTTTTCTATATTTTCCAAGCATTGACGTTCAGCCTAATTTGGCTACCGTTATGCTGACGACGTCTGTCTTACTTCACAAACTCAGTTTTCCTTTGAAATCACCCTTCCAATTTGGCTTTGTTTGCGTAATTCGCGTTCACTTTTTGTCACAATTCCTTCAATTTCTGTTATTTACACACCACGCTGCGCTGCCCCACCTCGTAACTCCCGCTATGCGTGTTTGGTATGTCTACTATGTCGGTCGGTGCTAATATGCTAAGTTTTACTATACCACGCGCTAATGGGCACTTCAAAAAGCTCTGCTAATATTCTTGTTAGTGACTAAATTAAAGTCATATCAGTGCAACATTTACTGTCAACAACAAAGCTCTCTCAAAATACATACATACATACACACATATACGCATATACAACACATATATGAAGTAATTTCCCCCAATTGCCATTCAATTTGCTTTTTACCTTGCCTTTAGGGAAACTCTCAAACTTTTGTGTTACAAATTTATTTTATTTTTTTCTCTCCTTCATGTGGTTGTGCTATCGTTAGTCTCTTTTAAGTAAATATACTTGACAAAGTCTTCCACATTCATAATGCACCCAAATTAACAAATTATCTTTTATTACATGCATTCATTTACTTGTATGTTTCCATAGGTATGGGAGTGGAATGCTCGCTTGGTATTTTCAAGCGACTAGTCTATTTCGATGGGGTACAAGTCCAATTGATAAATTTTAGAAATAAATGAAGATATAATACAAACGCTTAAATCTACGCTTATACATGAATCCAAGGGTTCAAAATGTGCAAAAAAAATCTACAAAACATAGTAATATAAAATAAAATTGTGTCTATTTATTCAGTTTAACGGTCAAAATAGTGACAAATGCAGTTATTTTACGAAATATATAAGATAATCGGATGTAAAGTTTATAAAATGCTCTTTTGAGTGTTTATTGAAAGAAGAAACATAAAAATAATCAAATGAAAAAAAATTTAAAAACTGTAAATCCTAAAAAAACAAAAATTAAAAATAAAAACTGAAAAAAACTTATAATTATCAAACAAATCACTTACAATGTACTACACAATGTTTAACGATTGGATAAATATGTCAAAAACCGCAGAAGAATACGGTAAAAAAGTTTCATCATAACTAGATCTTTTCTGAATAGAGTTACCACACATGGCTATTAATGATACCATTTAAATTCTTAATTTTCATTTAATTTTTAAAATTATTATTCACCATATTTTTATACAAAATGTGGTGTACATAAAATAAAAAGCTCTTAACTGAAATTTCGAAAAGGGTTACCATCGTTGATAGAACAAAACTAAATTTTGTTTAAGCGGTTATATCCACTTAAGAATTAAAAAATTCTTTTTTTTTTTTTGTTGGTTCATATATCTATTGAATATATATTTGAAAATATTTTCCGAAAACTTGAATTTTATCCAGCAAATGTTTCAATGATATGTTTTTAAAATTTAAAATTTTTTTAACTTAAGTTAATCGGCTTCCAAAGACGTGGGCGGTTTTCAGAGACGTTGCAAAACATTTCTCCGAAACTATTGCACTGATCGACTCGAAATTTTCACAGGCTGATCTTCCTAAATCGAGGTAATGATCGAAGTCGTAAGATTTTTTGATAATAGTTTCGATCTTCTGAGTCAGTTTGAAATATCAATTTTTTTATAAGAAACAAGTTTTTTGTTGGGAGCTGCCTTTTGTCAAAAAATAAAATTTTCACTAGTTCTTCGTTCATTGCTTATATTCAGCTAAAGTGATAATGAAATTTGTTACATTTGAGATTTGAGATCGGGGTTTACACAAAGCTGGATTCATGAAGTTCAGCGAAAGACTCGTCAAAGAGCTGCTTTTCCATCAGAAGACCTTGCACCGCTTAAAAGACTTACCTAGATTTTTTACCTATCAGCAGAGGCTTAAAAAAGAATTAAAAAATGCGCTTTTGAAAAAAAGCTACTTAAACATTTTAAATTTAGTTAAACTAATAAAGCCAAAAAAAATCAGGACAGCATATGTAAACTTAATAAACTCTCAATTGTGCAGTGAAAAGCAAGCAAATATGCTGAAGTGTTCTACTTACTTATGAATATTAAAATACAGAGGCATTTACCCACCCAACGTTGCGCGAAAATGCGCTAAAGCTCTCAAGCATTTTATTTGCTTCTCCCTGTGAGAAGAGTAACATTTGTTTACGTATTTTTATGGCAAATAAAAATGAAGAAAGGAATGAATTAAAAATACATGCCAAGTAAGGAAGTGGTCGAGAGCGCAGTGGCAATTTATAGAAGGTAGAAGAGGCATAGGAATGAAAGCCATAAAAAAGCATAGACTAAAAATGCACGCAAGTGTATATTTTATTTAAGTAAGGGGTGATATTTTGAGTGTATAAATTCAATAAGGAAAAATTTTTGAAGATAAAATACATTAATGAAATATAATAAGTTCAAGGCCTCAGAGCCTTCGGTTTTGTTTTTTATCTAAACTTTATTTTTAAGACACCCTAATATCAAATTTAAAATCCAATTTCTTAAGTTTTTTTTTATTTATTATAATACTACCATCGATGGGCCTTCATACATGCCCAAACAGAGTTTGATTCAAATTCGAAGTAAAAAAGTGTGAAAATCATAAAAAATAGTTGTATGTATGAATGTATTTACTTCAATTCAAAAATTTTAAAAATTATTATTTTTCAACTCTTACGCTCGTAACTTCACAATGGCCCACCTAAAGACCTAGGTGCGTCGTTAGACAGCCACTCTATCTACCTACCCGCTTAACTGTTTCTATTTGATGTACAAATCCTCACCCACCAAACTTAAACCCAAAGCTATAAGATTTTTTTTTTTGAAGCAACCTAATGGTTGAATCATATATCAAATAATAAATGACTATGGTTTGGGATTTCCACGCGCCAGCTACATACACATACACATATTTAAACAAGATTCAATAAATTTTACTAATTTGCCTTGATTGAAATACTTATTCATTAACTAATGATGGCACTTGTTCGATATATGTAAGTGTTTTCGCCACATTCCTTTAATTTTCTATTTTTTTTTTTTTTTTTTTTGTAATAATTATTGCAAATATTTTTTTCTCAAACTTATTTCATATACTTTCGACGTGAGTAATCAAAGAATTTGTTGTTGGTGTTTTTTCGATGATAAAATTTTCTTTTCGAAATTTTCTTTAAACTTATTTCATTTATATTTTTAAACATTTAATGTCTGCTTTTGTTTTTCATAATTTTTTCGCTCATTTTATATTACTTCATTAAATTTTTTGCGAGCTTATATTTTTTTCGGTCGTCAAGTTCGCGGTTTGTTTTCCCCATGTTGTTATTTCAGCAGACATCAAGGCAAATTTACGCAGCAAAAAATGGAAAAATTCTATTTTTTTTGACATGGCATAAAGTGACAGAAAAATGTCGGGAACTAGCTGTAGTTGGGTATATGTGCGTATGTATGTATTTGTAAATTTATTTGCAACTCAGACAACAGGTCGTTGAAAGAGCTCATTACTTAATTTCTTTTTTATTTCTATTTTCTTTTGCAATTGAATGACAAGCAAATATACTGACTGAGTAGTATGGTGTCAGCATATATAGGACAAGGAGATATATATATATTTAAAATCTTAAAAAAAAGTTGGCATTTAATTTTGAAAGACTCTGTCTTGTAGAAGTGATAAAAATCAGTAAATGAATCTTGTGTCGAGGCGTAATGAAATTTGCGTTTTAATAATTTATATAAATCTAAAATATTGCTGGGTTAATATTGTAATGTACAACAAATCATTAAAAAATGTAAGATTCAGTGACACAAATATATTATAAAGATATAATCATAAGGAAATAAAATAAAAATACGTTTGAACTTCTTTTTAATAATAATTTTCGCTTACAACATATATTAAAATTTTTTTTCTTTCGAAAACTTTCTGTAACAAGTTAATCTCTTAATAAATATTATCCAAATATTTTTTTTTTGCTTTTGTTTTTGCTATATCAACAGTTTTTCAATGCCTGCCATTACTAATAAAATTTTCACCAAACAAGTAAATTAATAAACTTTTATGTGAAAATTTATTTGTGTTTGAGAAATATTTATTTGTAAATTTATATTCAATACTCCCCAAATAATTTTCCTTCAATTTGTGCTTTATTGATATTTTTTCAATGTCAGCTATGCATTTCTTGTATGAACGACAGTTAAACAGCTCACACAGTCAAATAAATTGTATTTATTTTGATTAAATTAAAATATGAATGTCTTGTATACAGCTATAAATAATATATCTGATCTTATAATATTATATTATTTTTTGCAGTAAAATTATAGCACTTGGTAGCTTTGTGTTGATTTCTTGTGAGTAAAATGCTTTTGTATATATTGTTGACATATTCATAAAAATATATATATTATATTTACTCATATGCATTATATTATTATATAATATTACCATTAAATTTGTACGCTAAATTGTATGTAACTTCAAAGGTACATTTCTTATTGAAAATTGGTATTTTAGCATCAATAATACAACTTCAAAACCTTTAGTTCAAAATTGGTATTATGAGCCGCGGCGTATACGTAACCTTAAGTTAACTACTGTTTTTGCATTGAAGAGTAGCCTACATTGAATATAAAAGTTTTAAGCGGTAGACACGATTCAATTTTATAAGTTTGTTTTACTAGAATGCGCATTCCTTCTTCTCTCTTCAAAAGTATTTTTTGATTTTGAATGTCGAATAGACATTTTTATTTGTTTTTCAGGAATTTCTTGTTTACATTTTTATGAGTTTGAGTTTTATACAATCCATTCGTATTCACTTACGTTTCAAAACACATATTTTTATTGACTGCAATGTTTGCAAAATAAATTCTTGGATCATCAAAACAAAGCAAAACAGCTGATTTTGACAAGCTGAGTGAAAGCACTTATGACAAATTGTTGTTTTTGTGGTAACAACATAACTTTATAAAGGGTTTTTTTTAGAGGTATAGAATTTTAAATTGCAATAAAACAACGATGGATTATTCGACTGACATGAATCGTACTTATCCGAAAGATAATCTTGTGGCATTACATTTAAAATATGATTTCTGGCATATGATCGCCACGGCTGGCTGGGATGTAGTTCAATCTGGACGTTTAATTTTTGAAGACTTTTTTCCAACATTTGTGGCCGTATATCGGCAATAATACGGCGAATGTTGTCTTCAAAATGGTGAGGCGTTTGTGGCTTGTGCGCATAGACCACTGACTTTACATAATCTCACAGAAAGTAGTCTAGCGGTGTTAAATCACAAGATCTTGGAGACCAATTCACAGGTCCACAACGTGAAATTAGGCGGTCACCAAACATGTCTTTCAATAAATCGATTGTGGCACGAGCTGTGTGACATGTTCCGCCGTCTTGTTGGACAGCTTCACTTCACTTCACAGCTCCTGGACATCATGGTTGTTGAATTCAGGAATGAAAAAGTTAATAATCATGGCTCTATACCGATCACCATTGACTGTAACGTTTTGGCCATCATCGTTTTTGAAGAAGTACGGGCCAATGATTCCACCAGCCCATAAAGCGCACCAAACAGTCAGTTTTTCTGGATGTTACGGCCATTCAACCAGAAGTGCGCTTCATCGTATCATACAATACGATAAAATGAACGTAGTGCGCGATACGTATTCCGCACAGAACCATTATTTTCGAAATAAAATTGCACTATTTGCAAGCGTTGTTCAGGCGTGAGTCTATTCATGATGCATTGCCAAACCAAACTGAGAATAAATCACTTGACAGCTGTTTAATCGGTCGCCAACTTAAAATTCTATACCTCGAAAAAAAACACCCGATATAATTGAATCATGGTTATAGACAATTGAGTGAAAATTTCACGCTATTCTTAGGAATTAAAAAATAGTTCTTTTTTAGTAATACTAAAAAGTTCATTTAGTGATTTTTTTTAGTTATTTTTTTCTTTAATTCTAACGCCTAAAAAAATCGAAAATTACGTATTTTGTTAGCCTCCAATGAAAGAAAAAATAAGAAGGAAAAAAAACGCATGGTATTAAACTGTTAAATATGCGAAAATTAATTGTTTTTGGTTAAAGCCAATAAATTTGCATTTTTATTACAATAACGTGCAAATAAAATGGTTATTTATGGTTTGCATAATTTATTTGCAGAGAAAACAGGCAACAAATGAACAAGGTATAATTTTATAATAGATATTGGCTAATTTAATATTCACACTGATGCATACGAGTAGATGCGCATTCGAAGTATAATATCCGTGACACAATGGATAAAGAAAAAATAATTTTATTGCCTGTAAATTTCAAGAACTCTTTCAAAGACACTTGATTTTTTATGATTTTAAAATAACTAACGCAAAAGAGCGAGGCAATAATAATATTTAAACAAATACTTATTTTATATTTATTACTTTTATCACAATTTTGGCACCGTATTGCTTTCCCACATCTATTTTAACCCACCCAAATGACGCTTTGGTCTCAAATTGTTTTTGATTTGGAATTTTTTGTAATGATTAATTTCTCTTTAAATTTTTTCTGAAATTGTTATTATTTTTATGGACAGTGCACTGAAGAACCTAAAGTACAGACCACAAGTGATATTGGGCAGAGTTGCCAATATTTAGAATATTCCACTTATTAGTATTATAACCTAAACAGGGTGTATTAAGTTTGCCACGAAGTTTGTAACACCAAGATGGAAACATCGGAGATGACGACCTGAGTTGATTCAGCCATATCCATTTGTCCGTCCGTCCGTCCGTCTGTATATACGCGAACTAGTCCCTCAGTTTTTAAGCTATAGATCTGAAATTACCTATCCTTTCCTCACTAAAAAGCTGCTCATATGTCGGAACGGCCGATATTGGACCACTATAGCAAATAGCTGCCATACAAACTGAACAATCGGAATCAAATGTTTGTATAGGGAAATTCTCTTATATGACGTAATATCTTCCCGAAATTTGGCATGAGTTATTTCCTAAGGCAACAATGTAATCTCCGTAGAAATTGTTCAGATCAGATTACTATATCATATAGCTGTCATAAGTAAAGTGCTTGCTGGGAAAACTTTTTTATTTCACGAGGTATCCTCACAAAGTTAGATCAGAATCAAGTTATTGTAAGGAACTTTTGTATCTGTGAAGAGTTTTATAGCTTCGGTTCAATCGAAGTTACTTTTTTTCTTGTTTTTTTGTTATTTTACCAATTTTGTTTTTCCGAATATTTTTATCGCCACTTCTTTAAGTCTAAATTTCACAGTGTTTGCACTTTTTCATTTATTTATTACCAAAAAAAAATATTCAGGCAGTTAAAAAGTAGTTCGTAGTTCATCATCATAACTTTTCTGTGCTCTCAGCAATTCACCGAATGCCAGCAGTTGCGTTCATTTCTATACTCACGCCACAAACAACAATAAATAATAATTTCTTTAAAACTACACTCAAAAATTTTACCTTCTGCAGCTGCAAGGAGGACAAACTTTCCGAGATATAATCAGACGTACTTATCAGCTGCACATGTAGTATACTTACAGGCGCATATGCTCGTTCTCAAGCAGACTCTATCCGAAAAGCACAATAAAAATAAGCAGCTTACAAACGCACACATTTTTAAAGCTTTCAATGCAATCTCAAATGCGGATTAACTAATTTATTATTTATCTCATAACTGTTTCATTGGCAATTATGTTGCACTCTTTTTATAAGTCGAGCTTTTCTTCTTTTTTTTCAAAAATACTCGGATATTTTACTTTATTCTTTTTATTATTATTTTTTGCTCATTTCTATATATCTCTCGCTGGCATAATATCAATTACAACAACTGACAGCTGCGCAAATTAAGACTTTGCTTGTATGAGTGTCGAGTGGCATGAAATACTGCAATAACTAAGTGGAAAGTGATTAAGTGGCAGTTGGCAATTTTTGTAATTAGTAAAAAAAAGTAATGAATTTGATTTATGGTGTAAGTTAAGCGCCTAACAGGATACTTCATACATTTTATTCAATGTATAATAAGGGAGTATAAATAATTAAAAACCATGACTGGAAATTAAAAACCAAGATTGCAGGAAGCTATAAAAATGTGTACAAACATAAAAAGTTCAAAAAAGTTTTTTAAATTTTTTTAATAAAACTTTTTTTTATTGAAAATAAATTAATAAAGACTATAATAATAAAAAATTACAACATATTAACTGCCTAAAAAATAAGATTTATTGTAAATTTTTTAATTTATTTATAACAAAGACAAAATAGGCGGTTTTATGACTATTTTTTTAATACCTTTGCTACAAAGTTTATCAAACTAAAGAGTAATATGAATTTCACGTTTTCAAAACATAAAATACTTTTTATATTGTCTTATAAAATTCCATAACATCAAGTTGATCCGAAATTTTGGAGATACAGCCTTGAAAAGTTGTGCGCTCACCGATCAACCGATCTTTACAAAACTTTACACAGATCTTCGAGATATAATTTACAAGGTTGAAGTATATTTTTATTTAAATCAACTACTTATAAAAACGAGATATTTTCACCAAATTTGCATTTTTATAAAAACGTGTGCCAAAACGACTTTTAACATTTTATTTTCCCTTGTCCAATACCTCGTTTATATGTCTTAATTAAAAAGGTTTTGATACCCTGAACAGGGAATAAGTGCTTGTATGAAAACTTTTTATGTGACCAGATATTATCACGAAATTTTATTTCCCAAAGCAACGTGCAATATTCGAAAAATTTTCAGATCAGATCACTATAGCATTAACTTCGATATAAACTGACCGAAAATCCAGATAAAGATCATTTTATACTCCATATACAAAAAAATGCATTGTGAAAGGCATTGCAGCTTCGTGCACCGAAGTTAACGTGTTTCTTGTTTCTTGTTACTTTTGATGGTTCTGTAAGAATCTGCTGTCAACGCAAGGCACCTTTTTCCGAGGGACTGCAAATGACTTTGTAATGTCAGGTTTCGATATTTTCGTTTAAAAGTGTTAGAATATGTATATTTGGTATAAAAAGCTAATTAAATATTTCATTTTAAAAAAAAATTATTGGACATAGCCGTTAACCAAATATCTACTTGTAATTAGTACATATAAACTTGCATTAACAACAAAATTGCCGTCAATTGACAGCAGCGCACAGGATTACAATCAAACACCCATATAAAGTAGAAAATATAAAATCAATTTCAATTTACATTCTTGAACCTTTATCTATCCTATCTAAAAAGCTGCTGAGTTTCTCATTTCTAAAGGATGTTTTATCTCAGATTTAAACTTAATGCACACCTAGTTAATTTCAGATTTTGGGAA